CAAGTCCTATTGAAATTTATTTGTCAGTGAAACTGTTGAGTAAATAAAATACTTCTTTTTCATCCCCTTGTGAATTATGTGACAGAGATCTACTGTTTTTTCTTTCCTGTGAGAAGCAGCCAATCAAGAGATATTTGTCATTGTATCCTCCTTAACTCACCTCCCTTAATAATGGTGGATCTAGAAATTTATAATTATCAAGCGTGATGGACGTTATGATTACGAATTTGTTGATGTTTGTTTCACTGTCTCTCTGTTGATGTCTCTCCCTCGCCAGCGGGAACTCCGCCATCTGAAGATTAGAATAAACTGGTAATGAATGGTCACTTGTACTTGCTTTTTTTTTTATAACAGAGCTAAATAACTGCTAAAACCCTTGATTTCCTTGGCGCGGAACAAATTTCATTAATACTGCTTTTTACTTCCAAAAGTGGCGAGGGTCAAAATTCGACAAAATTCTCAAATTCCATATTGTATAATGCTGAAAAAAACATTAGCACCACTTAAACGTACTTCTAAAGAGGTCTCATTTGAATTGTCACACCGTGGATTTCGTCCACAGACTCAAAAGTAAGAACCACCTTATTCAAGACTCCATCTTAGCTTTTAATTAATAATATACTTGGACTCTGCGTTACTGAATACACTGAAATGCCTTCTTTGGATCGGATGCCTGTTTGATGTTTCTAAAAGACTGTTATACGGAGCCTTTGAAGATAATTTTATACGTTTAGGTTATTGTTTTGATGAAGTATCATTTTTCATAGATCAATGCGATGATTTTGCTTTCTTCCGGACTGCTTTTCTGTTTCTAAGGTGACTCCTTTGAAACTAAATAGAAGACATGGATTTGATCAGTTTGATACAGGATTAAAAACGATGAGCCTGCGTTGAATGGTTTTTTTCTCTTTAAATACCTTTAGCTAGAATAGATTATGAGAGAGTTTCAATTTCCATTTTTTCATTTGTTTGGACGTGAGAAGATTGGGTATTTTGGCTTTGACTTGGATTTGAGCGTCTAAACAAGTCTGAAGAGACAGCGGGAAGTTTGCGTAAAATTGCTTCCAAAATAGCCTTGTACTCTCGCCTGAAGAGCCTGTTCGTGGCACCGTATATAAACGGGTTAATGGTACTGCTCAAATAAATCAAGAACCCGTACACTAAGTATAACCGACGGGGCAAAGTGGGTTTTCCCCGCGCAAGGTCTATATAATCAATTACGCAGATTGGCAGCCAACAAAACGAGAACCCAGCCATGACTGCTGCTAAAGTTTTTGTCACTTTTGCTTCTTCCACGTTAGCTCTCAGCTGCTGAGGGTTACTCACTTGCGAAAAAACACGATTTGATCGCGAAACGGTGTAAAACACTTTAGCATAGCAAATTGTGATCAGGGTTAATGGTGTGCCAAGGTATACGCATTCAAGAAAAACCGTGTAACCAATGCTAACTTCGAAGGAGTATAAACACATTGCCTTTCCCGGCTGAAACTGGTATCCACCTTCTTTAAAGAACAGTGGAGGTACAGTGGCGAAAAGAGCCAAAAACCACACGAAAGATATGTAAAGGAAGATTCTTTTCCTAGTGAATAATGTGATGTACTTTTCTGGCTTCACTACACAAAAGTATCTGCTGACCGCGATTACCCCCATAGTGTTGAGAGATGCCAGCCCAAACAGAAACAGCGCGAAAGCTTGAAATTGACAAAAATCTGCTCCGAAGATCCACCTGCCGTGCACCAATGTTGCAACTGAAAAAGGCATACTGAAAATAGATATCATAATATCGCTGACTGCCAGGGCTAGGATAAACATATTAGCGAGTGTTCGAAGTCTCTGGTTTCTATATACTGCAAAACAAACCGAAAGGCTTCCGAAGAAGGCGATGACATTAGTTACAGCAAACCAAGCCGATTCAATCCAAACAAATGACTTGCTCCTATTAGAAAGCTCCTGGGAAATTGACATGATTCTGAACCAAAAAATAGCTGATTCCAGAAGAAAAAAAATATGTCAGTTACTTCAGCAATTGTTTTGCCAAAGATTATTACAGCAGAACGTTCTTTGATTGTCTGCGGCTGAATTCCAAACAGAGTTGCTGAAGTGACGGCAGATGAAAACTGAGCACACGTTTATTAAAATAAGACCTTTTAACTCATTGTTTACGCTCAACATAAATATTTATTGTGACATATATAATTATTCAACCCGTCCGTAAAATTAATTGAATGTTACGCTGTTTTGTCCCGTTCTCATATCTAGACGCTAAAGCAATTTTTAAGAGCACACACACCATAACAATGAACAACAGAGTTTTAAATTACTTGGCCATTTCATGGATAAAATATAGCTTCCGTGGTCTGTATCCTGGGAGACACTTTTTAATGTTGTTGTTATAAGACTACAATTTTCTTTTGACAGGTAAACTTTTCAATTTTCTTTTTTCATGATCACGTTCTTTTTCACAAATAAAATTCTTTTTTTTTACCCTTGTACGGCTTTGTCATTAGCTGATTTTGTGGTTTTTTAAAAAAATCTGTCCAATTGGAAGAGGGACGTGAGGTTGGTTTATGCGGTGGTGTTGAATTGTTAATCAACCTGCTGACCGGTGCCTTTGTGACAGATCTGCTCGGTAAAAATATTAATTTTAATTTGCTGACATGCCATTTCCTAAAGTTGACTTTGAACTTTTTTGGTTGTTTGCTTGATTGACAAGTACCTGACTTTATGCAGAAAAAAAATCCCAGCTGTAAATGAATACTGGTAAAATGAAGATAAGTTTCTTGTGTTGAATTGTTAATCAACCTGCTGACGGGTGCCTTTGTGACTGATCTGCTAAGCAAAAATATTACATTTAATTTGCTGACATGCCATTTCCTAAAGTTGACTTTGAACTTTTTTGGTTGTTTGCTTGATTGACAAGTACCTGACTTTATGCAGAAAAAAAATCCCAGCTGTAAATGAATACTGGTAAAATGAAGATAAGTTTCTTCGGTCAGTTAGGTTAATCACAAAAGTGGAATTTATAAAGCCAGTGACTTCCCGAACAGGCCTGTTGTCATAGTTGAAACTCAATAACCTTGTACAGACAGCTACTGTTTATCTTCCCTGAATGAATATGGATAGCTATTGTGTACACAGTTCCTCCAAGCGGCCACTTGTGCACGTTTAACACTGAGGACTTTCTTACAAGCGCGCTCTCAAGTCCCGAGCCGGCAGCGTGACCGAGCGGTGATAGCGCTGGACCTGTCCTGATAGTTTGCTAAATTTGTTCTCGGAGGTCTTGAGTTTAACCCCCTCGACCATGCTTGTAAATAACCAAGTGGTTTGCCTGCGGCCAGTTTGAATTCTTACTTGTTATATTTATTTCAGTTATTTATTCCTGTCCTTATTTGTGGGCCACCATGAAAACTGTTTGGCTACCCAGTAATTGTGTTAACCCTACAGCCCCTATAATGTATTTTTTAAGGTTTTAGGTATTTTTTCATTCGAACTTAGGGCATCATACGTGATCATAGAACATTCACCTGAAGGCTTACAATCAAGTACAATATTGCTGACATAAATAACTAATAACAGTAGGAAATGATCCTTTCTTATCTAATTACATGATTGTACGGTGTTCCATCTCCAAGAATTTCAAAATTTCATTTTCTGTATTTGCTTATCTTGTGCAGCTTAAATGGTAGGTATTTTATTGTGCAAATGGTAGAAAATTTACAAAAAATGAAGTAAACAGCTCAGATGACAAAGCACTTTTTACAAAGCCTATATAGTAAGTGCCACGTTAATAATTAAGTTCCCGCTTTCTTTCACGCCTTCAGGTTATTTAACACTGCTGTTACAGCCGGTTGGGAGCTAGGGACTTCAACTCGAAGCTAAAAGCAAGAAGCACTAAGGATAACAAAAAGGACGGTCGTGATGTATGACTAAAAGCAACAAGTCACGAAAAATAGACTGAGACTCAACGTCCACTCTCAGTCCATCATGGCAAAATACCAAACATTAATATTGAAAACAAGCAAATACGTGACTACGGAAAAAAACTACACTTCCCTAAGGCCTATAATAGTTATCTTGCCTTCTGCTATATTTATTTTAATTTAGAATTATTAGTAAGTACGTCAACCTTTTCATCGAGTTTTAACCTTAAATCAACAGTTCACCTTTTTTAATTACAACCTCTTCTTTTATTTAGTGCCACAACTACTGCAAAATACTGTAACAGTACTGGTGGACAAGTTGAGTGGATTAGTAGATTTTTACTTGTCATTTCTTGTCATTTTTATTAGAGGGTTTTTATGTTCGTTTTTATGCCCGGTCTCTAATAGCTGTGCAGTTAAGCTACGTATTTTGAAATAATTAATTCTTGTTGTCAAACTATACAAAGTATTGATTCATAATTATCGCAACAAACTAATCTCTTTGTTCTAGAAAAAGTACATCAATATCGTGCACACGTATTACCTCTTTAGCACAGTTGCTTTACTCTGATGTCTAGATATTTTCCCTTAAAACCTTTTCTAGCTTTCCACTTTCTTATTGCAGGTAGGGTTTCTGTTGCGGCACGTGATAGGGACCTCTGCGGCCTTAAAATTTTGAAATAAACTTACAAGTAACACTTTTTTTTTGAGTACCTTCAGTTGAGTAGAAAGGACTGTAAAGCATTAAGAGTTTCGCAATAAATTTACGATAAGGCCGATCGGACAGCTATGAATGGGTAATTGAAATTAGTAAGATCGTAAAATATTTTCTGCCTGTGTGTAATATTTCGTCAGTTGTTACACATAAAATCTTCTCAAACACTGCTTTCCTAATTCTAAATTGCACATTTTTAAAAAGCTAGAATAAGAACATGCAATGGCTCGTGAACCATATTGTGGCAAGCATCTTCAGTTGCACATTACTTTTATCAAACTTCACGTTTACGTTCGCCTCAGATCATTCCTTATTTCCATAAAATGAGTCGTAATGTAAGCAATTAATTTAAAAAACTTTCGTTGAAAGCGTCATAATAATGTTGGTATATAAGCACTCTTGAGGACATCTTGGCCGGGTGGAATACGATGTTTCAATAGAAGAAAAGTGCACTCAGTCGTCGCACGTTCGTTCAAAGTCATTGGCCCCCAAGCACAGATGAGCAAACTGAGCGAAAGCGATAACTGCAATGCCCATAACTACGGAAAATGAAAGAACGGGCTTAAATAATCTCCTTAATGTTCTTTGCATTTCAGTGGCAGATGTGAGGATTGAATCGGATAAGCTGCAGTAGCTTAAGAGTTCTTAAGAAAATTGCTATTAATAGCCACACGGTTTCTATGGCCAGGAGGCGTGCGATGGTGTCAGAACTGGAACCTTTGAAAGGATTACACTCCTCACATATAACCTCGTTTCTTTAGCCTTAAACAGCGATAAAACAACAGCCACAACCGACACCACAAGAAGGATGAACTCCAACCAATTCCAAATTTGGAACAAGTAACTCTTATAACGAAAGAACTTGATCATTTCAGCAATTAAGTATACCATGATTACTATGAGGAACAGTAACTGGCACACTTCATAAGACGATTTGGCACTTGCCGTAGCTCCGTAGGGTATAGTGAAAGCGATTTTACATCTACGCAGTGACAACCTGCCCAGTTGGGAGCTTTTCGTATACATTTCCGACTTTACAGAATAGCGAGGAAGATGGATCAAACAGCGATTATGCTTAAGAAGAGGTTTTATCACTTTCGCAGCGGAAACTTGATTCTATCCGAGCTCAGCGACATATCCACCTCCTTCGTAACTTTCTTCAACAGCTTCGTGAGAAAGAGTGTCGGTTTCTGACGCAGACTAGTACCTCCACGATTTTGGACAAATGTCGTTAACTGACTCAAGGTGGCTGTAATTGTTTAATGGTTTCCATCGCGGTAAGTAAAATGTAGTTCTGTCCTCACTGTCACTGCAACACCCCTTAATACATCTCATATCTTATAAAACCAAAACAACCGAAACAGTTTGGTTTCCATAAACAAACCAATAGTGAAACTTCGGCTTTCTACAGCATTAGCCGCACTGCAGGACCAGTAAATTGAACGGAAATATGCTTGGATCTCATACCGGCATGTAAGCATCAGTGCCGCATTGTATCAGGATTAAACTGATTAAAATCCTTGAACTAATTCAGCGCAAAGTTAACGAAACTCATCAGCCTTAATGGCCTCCTTTGGGTCATCCTTCCCGCTCTTTTAATATTTAACACGTAGCAGACCGTCCGCGCAAAATCGCATCTTCGAAAAATTTAGCTTTGCATTAAACGAGTCTTGTCCTCATCCGTGTTAATGTGGATAAATAAAATACCTACCTACCTACCTACCTTTAAAAGCGAGCGGAACGAGTCTTTCGGGTCTCCACGCCGCCAAGCTAGCGACAAAATCGCGATAAGTCTTCGTACCGGGAGCCAAATTTTAAAAAAGACGGAAGACTTTTCAATTCGAAAGTCTAAAATATTACCTGAAAACTCCGGCGGCGGTGCGGTCCGGAAGGAAATCTTGACGCGTCAATATGACAGATTTATTGTCTTTTTAAGAAAAAAAACAGATGACGCTCGCGAGTGCTCATAATCGGGACACTGTCCCTTTTTGGAAGCAATTTTAAGCAAACTTCCCTCTGTCTCTACAGACTTGTTTAGACGCTCAAATCCAAGTCAAAGCCAAAATACCCAATCTTCTTACGTCCAAACAAATGAAAACATGCATGGAAATTGAAACTGTCTCATAATCTATTCTAAGTCAAGGTGGTTAAAAAGGAAAAACGCATTCCATGCAGGTCATCGTCTTTTTTAATCCTACAGCTCATCAAATCAATATCTTCTTCTTGGCTAAAGCGTCACCTTAGAAACAGAAAATCCGCCCGGAAGAGAGCAAAGTCAACGCATTGATCTATGAAAAATGATACTTCATGAAAACATTAACCTAAACGTA